GCATAGAATCCAGTTCTCAAGTTTCCAAGCATATTCAACACAGAAGATGAAAGAAAAAGAGAAGCCAACTCCCACCATTTCTTCATTATAACAGGGCATTAGACAGGCTCCTGTCTAACGTTATGCTTTTAGCCAAGATGGCCTTGCTGAGACTTCACAGAAGTCAGTTTTATCAGAGGAAATAACTGAAAGACAGAGCGATCAATATATAGTGTATAAAAGTTTAGAAGAGCAACTATTACCTGCTGTGGCTTTATTTGGTGGTGTTATTGTTGTTTATTCTTTGTTTAAATGGGAAGTTTCAAAGTAAGACCTATTTAATAGTCATTTACCTATTTGCGATTTTTCTGCTGCTTGATCTTAGCTCAAGACCTGTCTTTTAGTTATTTCTTTTAGCAGTTTGATCAGCAATGTTTGCACGTACATAAACATTTGTTTTGTCTCCTTTCATTTGGCAAATTTCAGTCAATCGGATGGTGAAAGATTTTTCTCCCCCAGCGTCAATAAAAAAAAGAATTCAGTGCTATTTGTGTTTATAAGTCTATTAAGCTTGGTGCGTAGTAGCATTAAGTAGTTTGGATGCCACATGCTTCTCTGAGCATAAGCACATTTTGCCACTAAGGGGTGTGAATTATGATGAATTTACTGGTCGTAACATGCCACGAGAGGGAGCACTGAACTTGCTTTTGTGTACTTGCTTCTTGTCTATATCTCATAAATACCTTCTTAAGAGAGGCAGTGAGGAGGAGGGGGCGGCCTCTTTTCAGTGGTGGACAGTGATAGGACTAGAGGAAACGGCCACAAACTGAAGCACCAAAAGTTCCACAGGAACTTAAGGAAAATTTCTTCACTGTGAGGGTGACAGAGCCCTGGAACAGGCTGCCCAGAGAGGTTGTGGAGTCTCCTTCTCTGGAGATCTTTAAAACTCGCTTGGATGTGGCCCTGTGCCCCGTGCTCTGGGTGTCCCTGCATGTGCAGGGGTTTGGACTAGACCTCTGAGGTCCCTTCCAACCTTAAGCATTCCATGATTCTACAGCACGGTGGCTTTGACAGGAACACGGCTGTTCAGACACAGCTCTTAGGCTCTTACGTAGAGCCCTCGGGCCCAACCAACCAGGTTGCTCATGTTCTCTCTTCTCCTCCTCCAACCCTCCCCCTTTTGGATGGCTTTAGCCCAGAATGTCACGAAGTAAAGCAACGCAAGCACCAGTTCCAGTGGCTGTAGTGTCATTCGAACACACGCCCTCCTCGCAAAGCCCAGTTCTACTTTTTTCCCCCCAGGATTTTTTTCTCAGCCCTTATTAGTACAGCCCACACTCACATTCAGGGGGCAAAGGGCAATGAGGTGTGTTGGGGTAAGGAAAGTGCAAAGTCTTGGGAATAAAGTGGTAGGCATACTGCCCCTGGAGTACAGAACCTCCAAATTATGTCCCCAGTGGAAAGAAACAGCTCATTAAATTAAATTTAAATTAAATTAAAAATATATTTTAAAGATAAAAATATTACTGTGACTAAGGCCAGCACCAAAATTAAAAAATCTCCATATACATCCCTCTCTCCCTCCTGTAAGATAAAGCTCTACTCTTTATATCTAGAAATTATGATTATGCTAAATCTTGGCCAGTTCGGGTTCTTTTGCACACAAGAAGTAATTATCACACCAACCTTTCCCAATCTAATCACATGCTTTATCTAAAGAACAGAATTTAAAGAAGTGTTCGCCTATCCCTTGTTATAGATGATTGCTCTCCATGGACTGAACAACCGGGTTGCTGGGCAGCAAACAGAACTGTGCACAGAAATCGCTCCTCCCTTCCCCACCAGCGATGGCAAAAATTTCCCCCTCCTTTTCCCAAGTCGGCACAAATATAAAGCTGTAAACAATTCTGCAATCATGGGGAAAAAAAAAGAATAATCATTCTGCAATTTCAGAAAAAGGCTCCCTGGAAAAACAAAAACAGTGCCCATGAAACAACTATATTTCTGTACTGCACTGCTGCTTTAAACAGCTGCTGCTTTAAACATTGCAGGGTTTTTTTGGCCTGCATTTTCTGAGTGGTGATGCATTTTGCACGTTAGCTGAGCGCACTGACCACTCTGCTTTTCTCCTTCACTCACTTTTGATCTGGAACCATCTCTACCTAAACGCGCACACACACACACACAAAAGCCATCTAACATGCGCTGGCTTCCTCTGAAAGCCCAAAAGAAGTAATAAATGTCATGGAGACACTTTTTTTTTTTTGTCATGGAAACACTTTTAAATAAAACTGCTAACTACTGAAGGTCTTCAAAAAAATCAGAGTGATATCTTGTCAATAACGGGCAACTAACCCCTCCCAAAGGCTAGTGCCTACATTGCTAGTGTTGGTTTCTGGACATTTGGGAATTATTTTGTTTAAGTCAGATACTAAGTTCTAGACTCTATCCTGTTTTCCTTTAAAAAAAAAATAGTCCTCATGTTACTGTGAGGGAAATTGAGGAGAAACATGAGATATCAGTGGGAAAACTATACAAGGCCCAGGAAACAAATTAACCTCCCTTCTATCCTATTCTAGTATTTTCCTACAGGGTTTGTATTTGCACTAATTCATTTCTCTCCTGCCCCTTCTGCATATGTTTATAGCACTGTGGGTCCAGCTGGGGTAACTGTACCAAAAACTAATGTCTATGTTTTCACTGCACCTACAAGTAATAGACATCATACCCTTCATGAATGTGCCACAACTTCTCTGTGCTGAAGATACTTGTATTTTCTCATGGAAAAAAGAAAACATTTGGTAATACTGTCTGAAGACAGGCACGGAATTCAGTACAGATATGCCTGTAAGATTTCTATCCTCTTTTAAAGGCTGCAGCCAAATTAAAAATAGCATATAGTAACAAGAATATTAATGGTATCACAATATTCCACAGGGCTTATTCTCAACTGGATTAAAAATGTAAGTCAAGCCATGCACTACCTGGTCAAGCCAGCATGTTAAAAGCATGTGCTCTTTAGCATCTGATTATGAGCCCATTGCCCCTATTTTGAACTTAAAAACTACTTTTGTCCAAAATGTCCTATAGTGACTAACTTGCTTTTAATGAGCTGCACTGAGTGACTCCTATTTCTTGTATTGCCTGAAGAGCAGCTCTGCACATCCTACCACGGCCTTCAAGACTTTGCAAAGTTTATTCTCTTCTCCTAGCCCTGCTCTCTTCCTCTCCTTAAATCAGAAAGGCTCTAGCCCTTTTATTTGCTCCTTAAAAGGCAGCTACTCCAAAACACTTTAACTCCTCTTTTCTACACATCATCTACTTCCCCTGTGTCGTCCTGGGGATGCAGTGACCAAAATGGCACACGACACTCAAAACGTGGGCACAGCCACGGTGGTTAGTTTTTTTGCTCTCAATACCCTTCCTGATGATGCCCATCATCACGCTGACTGTTTGGAGCTGTCACTTTACAGCTAACTTTAAAGAACTATCAGTGATGACACCAAGATGACTCTACTGACCTGCACGTGGCCAGCATACTTCACTAAGTTGCAGTGTTTCGTAACTGAAATTCTCTCCTCAGCTGCTGCAGGACACTCCATTATGTGTCACAGGCCTCCTGTTAAAGCTTTAGTATCTCAGTAATCCATCCAGAAGAAAATAATAATCCTGATCCATCTGCTGCAAGTTACCTAACCGTTTCACAGTTATTAGGACATTGCTGAGAAGCAAAATTACTCCTACATATAAATCACTAATCAGTTAGTATATCTACCACAAAACAACATTAGCCTTCACTTAGTCTTTAAATATTTTTGCTCCTTGTCCAGATTGTGACTTTCAGCCACATTAAATAGCTGAGCAAGATGGCTACCTTATCATGCAATTATTTGCCCAAAATCAGAGTCAAACCACGCTATTCTGTTATATGACTGTATGGCTTGATCCAACAGTTGGCTCAGCTGCACATAGTCCCAAGTAAAAACCCTGTGGTTTAGGGTAGTAAGTAAAAACCCTTATGGACTATTTGGTTCTTTTTTTTTTTTTTTTGTTATTATTGTCTACGTCACTGGTAGAAGTTACTAGCTGTATAGAAAAGGTCACAGGCTCATGGTGGAGTCTGAACCAGGTTATTTTAAATAGCTATCTATCCTTTGCCATTTGGCTGCAATATCAACCTGCTGTTGATACTACTGTGTCACTTAACAGTGCTACAGTCCTTCACTCTAACCAAAAAGTAACAGTAGTTCTAGATACCGTCTTCTGAGGATACCCTGCAACAGTAAAATATGTCCTGAGTTCATTTCTACCTTGCTTAGCCTATGTAGGGAACCTCTCCTTTATCCCGACATTTGAATTCACCTATCGCTTCCCTTTACTACCTGTAGAAAGTAATGCTGAGTTTGGATAACTTTGCAGTTGTTGTTATTTTAAAACATTTCTATAAACATGCATTTTAAAAAAGCTCCTTTCATTTATAGCTTAGTTTAAAATGCAGCTTGAGAAGTAATGTGTTTAGAGTGTGTATCCTCCACCTGCTTATATTCTGAGAACCTGCACACTATTTTGGAAAGGCCTGTGAATTCCAGAATGGTCTGCTTAGCATGTGTATTTGCTAAATTTCTTGGCTAAGTATATGTGTCTCAGCAAGTCTGAAGCATCTGCTTATGTCAACCTCCAAAAAAATCCTGGTTATCCTTTTTGTAAGAGTGATACACACAACAAGAAAATCAGCAAAAATGCGAAGAGTAAATGTGTTTTTCTTTCAATTTCACATTGATTTTTATTCACTGTTACTAGTGAAAACAGTTTTCACAGATTTTTAAAGCTATAAGACATTCTACAAAAAGGCACTTCAGAAAATCATTGAAGGAAGTTCATTTGTAACTGACAGACTTGGCAGAAATCAGTAAAACCAGAAAAATAACTTTACTCTTTTTAAAAAAGATAAAGCTCATATTTTACAAGTGAAAATAATTTATAGCTGCAACAATTTTCAAGTTAAAATTTCTACTTATTGCTGTCCTCAGACTTTGACTTATCTTTTGTAAGCTGTTTTAGCCAAATTCATGTTATTGTTCTCATTATATGATAATGGATTAAAATGTAAGGTCACAAGAGATCATATTGTAATGATGTAACGAATCCTTCTAATTTAAGGCTATAAAAATGCATGAATTCTCTTGTCAATTCTTAGCAATCTTAATATTCAGCATAAAATGATAATATGTAGATGCTTCAGTATGTTTTGTTAGCTATGACAATGTTATACACAATGCCTTTTCTGTAGTAAAAAAGTCAGTCCAAAATCATTGCTAATTTTCCAAGTACGTGTTTTTTCTTAACAGAAATCCCTTTGTATATCCCAGTACCAGCAAGTTTGTTATTAACCTCTTCTCACATTCGATTTGTCTTCAACACTTCTTCAATGTGCTTAAACACACTAGCATCTTCAATGGTTGGTGTTATCTGAAAAGGAATACAAAGAAGCACGTGATAGTTGTTTGCTACCCTTCAAAGAGTAATGAAACAGAATGCAATCCAGTGAACCTTCTAACTCTAGCTTTCAAAAGCTCAGCTGAGAACACGGTATTTGGAGATGTCCTGTACATGAAGATCTTCTGGGTAAGATACAGTATATGCAATATGCTACCTGTCGTCAAAGAGGACTTTAAGAATGGTCTAGAGTATCAAAAAGATAGTGTTGAGACTTTGTATGTGCGCTTAATTCAGACAGACAGACAGACATCTACAACTTACGCTGTAGGGCTTTCCGCTGACCAGAGCAGAAAGCGCTGAACGCGGGATCTTGCCCGAACGCGTTTTGGGCAAGTGCTTCACAAACACTCCCTTCTGGAAAGCTGCCACTGGACCAATGTTTTTTCGAACTTGCTCAACAATTTCTTCCAAAATCTTCTTCTCTTCTGTCTTTACACCTGAAGGAGAATTTCAAATGCTTTAACCTTTCCCTGATCTTATAAAAGTTTCAGTAATGCATCAGTAATAGCGGGTTCTCACCTTCCCTCAGCACACACAGTGCAAACGGGACGTGCCCTTTCAAGGCATCCTCCTTGCCTACAACAGCACAGTCAGCCACAGCATGATGGAAGAGAACACACTGAGGGAGAGAATAAAATAAAAACAACTAAATGAAACTAATAATAATTTATACATATCAGTGAAAAGCTTCTACAAATATTCACATTAAAAAAATCTTACATTTTAAGAGCAAAAATTGCTTAGTCGGTAAAGCTTAGGATTTTAGTTACATTACACCTTTTGCTTTCCATCCACAATGGTAATACCACACTGTGGTAACCCTATATCCACAATTTCATCAATACTTGCAGACCCAACTGTACCCAACATATACTTCACTGTGAATGAATTCAGTCATATTACAATGCTTACAATGACTTAAAGCAACAAAGCCAAAAGTTAAAATGGATTCTACTTTCCCTAGGAATAGTGTATTGTAGAAGCAACATCTGAGGTTTCTCCTGGTAGTGACAAAGATCCAACAATTCCAGTAATTAATGCTTCTGGTCAATATGTTGCCATTAAGCATGGTCGTTACTTAAAGTGCAATGCAAAATTGGTCTGTTAAGAGTTTAAAATTACCGTATTTTTTAAGACAAGGCCAAAAAGAACAGCAACAAATTAGCAGCAGACATTTGAAAGTGGCTTAAAAATAAGAGAAAGAAATGACATTTATGGAATTTGTGCTGTGCACAAGGATAAACTTCAAATCTTCTACTGCAGCAGCAGATGGAAACCTCAGGAGCCAAAGTGTTAATGCATCAATTTCTAATCTTTGATTTCAGATAAACATGGGATAATCTGTTGCTTTTGGTTTTTTTTTTTCCTTTTCAGCAAGAGTTGAGACAAACATGGTCACCACAGATATATGGACAAAACAGAGATGCACAGACCAGCACAGCCTGAGGTTCCCACCATGGCCAACATTCACTGATTGGAAAAGTAAACAGTAGCTCCTCCTGCACCACTGTAAAGATGGAGCCCCAGTGATACTAATGGTTCCTTAGCCAAAGAAACTAACTGGAACATAATGAGGGTGAAATTTTTAGTCCAAATGTTAAGGAAAACTTGCTAAGTTTGTAGCTATGATGCAAACGCAGATACTGCACTGCCGCAACACGGTGTCTGCCACTTCATTAAAGGCAATTCAATGAGCCTCTAATGCTGTATTTACTGATCATCCTGAAGAGCTATTTGTGTTCTTGTTAAAGCTCTCTCATTTAACTAGCAATTTGCTGTGTGCATTTTACCAACACTCCAGTTTGTTTAGCCTTTCTTTCAAAAGGAGAACAGACAAGCTTCTAGAATATTTAGTTCTTCCCAGGGGAAAGCTCTATTTTTCATCGTGATTTTTTTCTATTCTTTTTTTTTTTCAACTTTTCTAATTTAAAAAAATTCTATCAGTAAAGCACACTATTTAATATACTTATAAATATTATTAAGTAAAAATGACCAACAAAGTAGCTTGTGATTTAGGTTAAATCACACACAGGTTAAATTCAGAGTTTTAAAAGTGCATTTTTCCCTTGCTACTTGCTCATCACATATTTTCCCGGATTCGCTGAATAAGCAATTGATCTCTCATCAGGGAAATCTGAAAGTGGCAATTCCAGCAGTTTTGGAGAGACAAGCAAACAAGGATATGGAATGTAGACACTATTAAGAACTTCACTATTTTCACCTTTCAAACCAGTTGCATTAATGATTTTCAATGTAACAGTCAGATTTTTTTTCAAAGTTTTTTTTGTTGTTCCCCTACTTATACAATAAGAATGAGAGAAAAGAGCTCTTCAGAAGCTGAGAAAAAACTTTTCAAATCATGAAGAAGAGTGTATGTGAGTCTACATGAAAAAAATAATCCAAAATCAAACCCTTTCAAAAATACACCTTAAAACTATGCTTTAGAAATCAAAGTACTTCTAAGCCATTGCTGGTGCAACTTCTTGACACACTGAGCCTCGGTAGACTGCCTACCTTATCATAATGCATTCCCAAGGGCATAAGACATGAGAGCAGTGGAAACATTCCTGTAAACCTACCATGGTGCCTTTAGCTCTACCTTCCTCTGTGAAATCATGTCTGCTTGATCAGCTTGTGGTATGAATGCTCACTGCTAATTAAGTTCAAGTCCTCAAAGGACCTTGGTAGAAGGAATAATAATAAAATGCAATCAAGAAAAGCAGAACGAAGCTTTTTTGTGATTTTTCTTTTGGTCTTTGTGAATTCAGCTTTATTCATTTTTCACTCTTCTATTTTACTGTCAGGCAATGCTCACCTCTTCAATTGCACCTGCTGAAATTCTGTGTCCTGCAACATTGATCACATCGTCAGCTCGAGACAGGACATATAAATAGCCATCTTCATCCATATAACCTGCATCCATAGTATCATAGTATCCCTAAAAACAATGTAAACAAAAAAATAAATTCAGAAATACTACAAGGATCATCAATCATTCCTGGAAACCAACTGATCGTCTCAAATGAAGTTGGTTACTGGTTCCTGTAAAAGAGACCTCTTAATATTTTTCACCATTCTTATGTCATAATTTATCTTGGTCTTCCCTTTCCAGAAGGGTTTTATAGTCTTTGAAGATATAACAGAAGACAATACATGAAGCTGGATTTCTTCCACCCTATTTACCTTGATCCCTGAGACCTTGAGAAATATGTTGCCTGAAACTACATAAGAAGAATGAGAAAGTTAAAATGACAGATATTGAGTAAGGATACTTCCATTTGTTGAAGCTGGACATATACCAGCATCATCACATTAATACAAAGAAAAGAATTTCCTCATCAATTTACTCTTGTACTTTTATTTTGGATATTTACACAATACGAGAGTATCTCTTTCTGCATGGAAAGGGACAAGTTAGTCCCTGAATAGTTTATTTGAAAAGGAAGCATACTGCATTCAGTAAGGGTCCTCCTATATATTTACACATACCAGAGAAAATCATATATTTTGGTGTGACATTAAATTAGGACAAATGCATGTCAGCAGAAGTAGTGTATTTGAAGCTATGCTACTCTAAGGTCGTGGCAAGCCATGTATGTTTCATTGAACCAAATGACATAGCTATAGAAGACAAACTTAGGTTCAAAAACTTGAAGTTTACTTCAGTTTCTTATCTGAAAAAAAGCCTAGATATCTAAAAGCTGAAAGTGCGTATGAAGAAAAGAATGAAAAGCTTTTAAATCTCTAAGAAATCATGTATCAAAGAGCTCCCATTAAAATATCTCCCATTTAAATAAGATATGATAATATTTTAATCAATTTAAATCTACCATCATTCAGAGTCACAGAATACTATAATTTTATATAACGAATTCTGTAATTCTTACTGGAAATTTTTGGAAATATAACTTCTGGAATGTTTCTGGATTTTCCCAAAGACCTGAAAATGCTCCAGGAGGCAGAGGCAACCTGCAAACAAAAAAGAACAGAGGGAAATTAGAAACACATTAGAAACAGATATAACAATGCAGTTAACCATCTACATCCATATTTTATATTCAGATAAATAATCACTGACTATGCAGCCAGAAAACAGTTTGGTTCAATAATGAACAGATTAACAGATCCAAATGACCATATATTTCTTATGATCACACATAGCTCTGAAGTGCATTCAGTCGATAACTTAAATATAACATATGTTCTCCCACCTTTGACAAAATAGTATTTATAGAGAAGACATGCCATAAATATCTCACCACCATTCAGCCTTCAATATTTATAAGAACTGAGCATGTCAGAAATGTGTGCATTTCTGATATTTTCATGATTAGATAGCTCCTTCTCTAACACACCCCTATATATATGTGCAGATACACACATCTATATGTATATCTACTGACTCACCCAGGCACACAAATACTCAGTTTCTGTAAACAGACATAACTCAAATGCCTTCAGTCACAAGAATCTGCAAATCTTTAGCTGATATGTGTTAATCTGTACCCTGACAATGTTCCTATATTTACTGGATATTTGTTACTATACCCAAGGGGCAGTATCACCAGCAGGGAAAACCCCCTGTGCAGGGCAGTAACTCTGATACTCGTCACAAGGCTCCTATGATGTTCAAGTCGCAAGAACTGGTGTTACCAGTACAGTGCTATGCACTTACTAATACTGTAATCATAAAAATAAAGGGGGAAAACAAATCATATTTTTACCTAAACACAGGACCAGCAGTCTAAGTAATGCAGAAAAGCCCATGTCACCTGGTAAGGATTCAAATCCATGACCATGCTTAATCCAGCTCTAGGGGAGTACACAACTATAAACAGGGCTACTTTTTCTAAGGGGTTTAGCTCAGCACACCCTATAAATCACATCCCCTGAAACGCTTACGGGTCCCTGCAGCCCCATTGCCACCAGCTAGGCTGGCTTCATTCGGCTGCTGCCCGCCCCAAGGGACCCAACCGGTCCAGCTCAACACTTCCAAGCTGAGCAAGCACCAGGTGACACACAGATGGGGGAAGAAGATAGTGATACCTGTTTCTTTGTATATGCAGCACATAAAACAAAATCTAAAACCCCTCTCTTGCTCAGATTCCAGAGAAAATAGCAGAAAATGGTAGCTAACTACGGTTGTTGCCTGGTTGCTAATTGCACCGCAATTCCCAAGCTACAGGCATTGCAGATTTTGTACTTTCAATTTATTTAACAGTCTAAAACCACCTTATGATGAGAGTGACAGGACAATTCATATGGACAAAGTCCGTAATAATTTCTCTAAAGCTCTGCAATGGTCTGCAGTGTTTCTGGGCATTGTGCTAATAACCAGTGCAACCGGTACAATTAATAAAGGTGGAGTTCAGCTTGCCATAATATTACTAAACGTAGTGGAATTTTGCCAAAATATCAGGATTACATGGTGTACAATCAAAGGAAAAAAAAAACAAAAGAACACATCCATCCAGGCCCCCTTTCTCATTTCAAGGTTGAAAACATTTAGAAAAATAAAAAGGGAGAAAAAAAAAAGAAAAAGCTAAGTAAACTCTATAAATAATCATATAGCTTACATGGATTTATCTGACACTAGCAGGTATGTTCTAGTATCTCAGCTAACTTCAATTTATAACTTATCAGTCTTTCTAGCTACCCTTCTCTGGAGCTGGGACAGAGTCTCCCTTGCTTTTACTGACTAGAAGCACTGCCCTTGCCTGCCCTCCTCCTTTTCCTCCAGCTAAGGGGACAAGCACAAACAAAAGCTTTGCTCTCTCTTGGGTATTAAAATACCCAAATGTTGCTTCATCACATCCTACAACACCTATTTTCTTCAAAGGGATGCTAAGGTATTATGGTCTAACGAGAAAGATTACATCTTTTTCCTTCCATTTTCCTCTCTTGAAGCTATCTTGATTAACATCTATTTCTACTGAGCATCTTAATGAGTGCATATTACTCATTAAGTAGCTTCAAGCCACTATTCTCTGTAACAAGCTCTGTAGCAAACACAATACAAACTGAATTTTTTACACATATAAGCAATATTAAATGTCTTTTTATTGAACATCTAACTATTTACTCTGTAAATACTGTATAAAGATTTCAACACAATACTGCAGAGAGAGAAACTGGGAATGGGCTGCTTACTTCTGGGAATGGGCTACATCTGCCCCATTAAAGAATACCAGCTATATATTTGTGCTCAAAGGCCCTCCCAAACGGATATCTGCCAAGTTAAGATCTAAATATATTTTTAAAGGCTATAAATTTATAATGAACAATTCCTTACAAAATGATGCCAAAAATATGTTTAAATATTTTGTACTCTTACAGCATTCTCTATCAGTCATTGCATGATTCTGGTCTGCAGAAACTCTCATACAGTCAATATTCTTAAAATCAATTTAAGCAACTTAGCATTTAACAGTTTCCCCCCCGCCCTCCAACTTCCAAAGGCACTTCACAATCACAGTATGATATAACCACAGTGTCTCCCTTCCTTCTGGATATGGAACTGAGTATTTATGTGATTCTGTACAATTGAGATAAGGATTTGTCAATCCTTATCCCAGCCTACTCCATTATTAGGGCACAAAGATGACCACACAAACACTAAAGGAACTGTAACATGGGGTTATGAACAGTCTGGAGAGGCTCTAGGGAGGAATTTACTGGTAGATATTGGCCTCTGGCTAGAATGAATATATGGCAAATATATGGCAAATATACAGCACATTCTTACTGTGGTGGATGTATATTCAGAAGAGGGTCAGCTAACGAGGCAGTGCTCGCACCTGTTTCATAAAATAAACATAACAGGTTGCAACCTTTATAATGTGCATGCGCAAAACTGAGTTTCCCACTGCACCGGAATGTAAATGGGATTTAATCTCTGCTAACATTCCTTAGGAGAGCAGACAACTTTGAATGTTCTCCTCACTAACACAGACGGCGCACACACACATGTGTTTTGATTCGGGGCAGATGAATGCCAGCGTGTCACTAAATCAGACTGCTCTTGCAAGAGGAAATTGGAGGTCATTGTTGCTATCATTTTCCCTTCAGAATAAATTCTCAGCTAATTATCCTTCGTGTCAAGGATTGCAGCTCAAAAAAGAAGAAATTCAGAAACAAGTAGATTAATTCTAGGCCACTCTCACGAACTCTAGCGGCCTTCATTTTCCTTGAACCTTTCATCATAAACATTTTGACACTGTATTTTTTTTTTTACTTTATCATGAGACACTTCTGAAGTCAAACATATTATGGGACTGTGCAGGTAAATTAGCTTGTGCCATAGTTCTTGTCACTGTGAATTCATTGCAGAGGGCAGAGATGAGGGATACATGAGAAAAGCAGGGATGAAGGAGTGGGTGAATACAGAAAAGACTTTACTGCAGGGCAAGGAGCTGGAGCAGGTAAGTGTGAAAATCGCCTCTCTAAATGCTTTGCCTCCTGCAATGCAAGGATAAAAATGAAAGCTTAAACGTGCATTGCCAGCACAGGTATTTCAAATCGCATATCTGCAAGCACCACAGGCCTCCAGCAGCCCCAACTGTCTTCATCAGGAGTCAGACTGGGCTAAAAATAACCAGGAGCGACGTCACGCCACTTCTGCAGAGCCTGGATCGCAGGCAGCCTGCGGCCACTCTCCTCGCAAGGAAACGCTGCAGAACATTTTCAGCCCTCCCAAGTATCCTGCAGATAAAGCAAACACCTCTGTGGGGTTTGTTTTGCTTTTTTCTTTTTATTTTTTTCCTGAAGAGATGCATCCCATTCTGCTGCTAAATGCACAGAGAGTAACAATGAAACCTATTCTGACAACCCATTTCCTTCATCGCGCCTGGGGAGGACCCTGGGGTAAGAAATAAACTCTACTAATAACAAAGATCATCCCAGCTGCTTTTAAGGGGTCCATACATGCACAAGATGGATAAAGCACCTGCTGAAGAAACGAAGAGAGCACAGCTTTCTTTGCTCGAGGGCGTTAGGAAAACAAGTCCCCACCAACAAAAGTCTCACAGTTAAAGAGTGGCTGAGTACTGTGTACGATAGAAAATGCAACGGCTTTATCTAACAGCCACAGACTTTTATGACCAGAAAACACCTAGAAAGTGTCACAAAATCGCCCCTTACCAGAATTAAACTTGGAACCAAATGAACTGTCTGAACTAGAATAAGTCCCATAAACGTCTGTTGAGCAACCCACAGATTCAAATGATTCAAATGTTGGAAGTGTTAAAGAATTGCCCCCTAAAACTCACTGAAGTCTTTCCTTTTTTGACAACAAAGCTGTAGAAGAAATTTTCAGAGGCTTCTTGCCTCAAAAATTTAAGCTAATACCAGGAAAAAAAAGGGAGGGGAGAAGGGTTAACCTACCTAATAATTGATTCCATATTGACTATAAGGATAGTTTAATTTCTTATTCTGCCCCTACTATTTCAGAACCTATGTTATAATAAATACTGAAAAAATAAAGTAACAAGTGTGCTTGAGCTGTTACTCTTCCTATATTATCTAATGTGAAAAACTGGAAAATTCTCCCACTTTTCTCCACCAAACCTATTTGGCTGCAGCAAAAAAAAAAAAAATGAAACAAAAATTAATACATTGACACATTTGGAATCCCTTAAGAAATGTTTAAAAAAGGGACAATGTTAGGGAAGATAAATTCTGGCTTTGAGCTTGATGACAACCACCAGACAGATCTCCTGATGTGACAATATCCACTACTTGCAGACACATAAATATACAAGTAGTAAGGTACAGAAATGTAAGCACATTTCTATCAGCATTACCTGATGCTAGGTATAATTTAGCTTATCTGGCAGAGAGCTACTAAGGATGGGGTCAATCTCACTGAACTTTCATGCAGCTAATGTTAAGCATCTTGTTTTAGATACCAGCGCCTACAGATAGGAGAGAGATATAAACATCTCTGGGAGCTGGTTTATCCCATCCTAGGTGAATGACTAAGACAGTTCAGATCAATTTTCTTTCAAAACCCCTTTCTCTCCCCACTGATTACAAACCTAAGCCTCACTGTAGCAATAGCTAAGCAGCCAAGAGGCAAGAGCTTCAAAGGGTATCCCTTCATTCTGACCTAGATCACAGCAAACCTTTTTTTGTGGTCTTTAGCACAGCAATTTAAATCATTCATGCTCCACCCCGGAATTAAAGCACGATCCTACGGGTGTCACAGGAAAGCTGTGACCACAGACGGGTGCGTTGGCTCAGGGAAGGGCAGGCAACACTCCCTGTGCCTGGGCATCCTCAGGATCAGAGCAGAGGCTTCCTCTCCTGTGGACGGACACACATCTGTGTCACACAGAGCAAAAACTCGCTGTGACACTGTCTTAATCTCCACAGCAGTCCAGTTACATTAGACCAGTAACACGGGTGAGCAAACAACCTCCAGCCCTTGGCAACTCGGAGTCCCAAGCGAGCACTACGCAACTAGACAGCCCCTGTTCAAAAAGTGTGTTTCTCCAGTGCCTGTATGTCACGAGCTCCTAAGCTCCCACCTCCTCAGCTCTAACCTTAGCTAAGCTTAACTTTGCGCAACTGATCAAAATCAGTACATTTAGGCCAATGTTTTGGCTTTTAACACAATTTAATTTCACTAAAGGTTAATGTTCATCTTTCAGTACATCACCTTTCATTCCTCTACCCTAGGAATGATGTATCTGAGGTACCTCTAGTCTCTTAAATTTTATCAATTTAAGATTAATTATCATTGTTTTTGTATTTCTTTGTATTTATTTGGGGACTTTTGCATTTGATGGCAGTCAGCATGTACAATTTCTTTTGAATTATTTTATTTCTTTGGGGACTTGTATTTGCTGGCAGTCAGCATGTGTTCAGAGCTCAAGCATTTTCTGAGATTGAAAACAGAGGAGATTACAGCTAATGTATAACTCTCAATGTAGGGATCTGGTTCAAAAATTAATCACCTAATATCCGGTGAAACATCTGGAATACATGGGCATACACTGGCAGGAATACCCTGGCGTGTGCTGTGGGTAACAGCTATCTATCAACTTCTATAAGGAGAGGCTCTAAGGAAAAAGAGCCTAGAAAAAGGCTCTAAAAAAAGAGTGTAAAGTAAGACAAGAAAAAAATGCAGCTAATGTTCAGATTACAGAGGCTCCTTTATCTAAGAAAATGTGTCAAGAAATGCATGCTTTCAAGAAGAATACTGAAGCTTGTGTATCTCATCCAACAATTCTTACAGTGGTCAATTACAGGATTTACATCAGAGCATTTTTCTCTTTTCTTGGAGGGAGGTGGATGTTTTCTTCATTGCAGTTTGCCCAAGTGTTGCTACGCTTGAGCAGTGACACGCAGAGACACCCTCCTGCTTTTACAGGTGCTCTCCCTGTAAGGATGTGCATCGCTTGGGATTAGGACCCCAAGAAAGAGCAGGCAGCAGCAAGCCCCCAAGCTAAAGCATGTGAATCTTCACTGCTATACCATTTCTCTACAGTGAAAGATAAAATGACGAAGAAAATGATCTAATATCGTGCTCATCAATCACGACAGGCTTTTTTTTTTTTTTTTTTTTGTCAACAGCTGGCAATTATGAAAATGGTAAATTATGCTGTAGTTTAGGGGGGAAAACAAGTAGTCCACAGTCATTTACACACACAATGTCATCTAGATTTTTCCAACATTAATGGACATAAGTTCTGATCATTTGACACTAGTAAGAGACAGCTATGCTATTCAGTTCTCATTGCTTCCATTACCCTTATACAGATAAATTTTGGTTAAAAGGTAGTCATCTACCCATCTTTTAAACCAAGTTTTTAAACACAAGACAGTTAGTTTGCTTACTTTACCACAATATTTCCTAAAGTTTTCGCCTTCACTGGTTCCTTATTTTCATTCAGAATCATCACTGTAAAAAAGCAACAAAGGAAGAGAATCCCTGTAAGTAGCATATTTTTAGATGCAGGACCATGTTTTACCCCACGGATACACACTTATGCCATCCCTAAGAACTGGAATACACCAAGCAGCAAAATGAATTAAAAGCTTTTGGAGCACCCAACTGGATAGACTCATGATCCTATTAATATTCAGACATAAGTACAATAAGACTTAAATTTATAATACTTACGCTTTGGAAGCAGAAATAGCACAAAATCAGACTGGGAAATAAAGAACTAATACAAAAAGACATCTTCATACTGCAAAATCTAATCTTCCAAATAACAAAGGGCTTTCAAATACATGACAAATATGACAAAAAAATAACACAACTAAGAACTTACAGCTAAGATCCTTGGGAGCTGACCTAATTCATGTGAGAAATATTATTAGCAGTAAATAAATGTGCCTGTTCATCAAAAGCTCTCACTAGGCCAAGAAAGATGTTCCCCAGCTGAGCACAGTTATTCTAGTCCAGCACAAAGAGGTAATCTGGGAATTACCCAGAGCTGCAGGGCACGGTAAAGCTACAGCAGAGTGGAATCCAGACCTGACCACCACCTTCAGTGAAGTGATCATATCTTGATACGGAATATGTAATTTTTGAGGAAAAAAAACACCTGGAACAGTAAGGAAGTCATCTAGGGGATAGGGAAGGAATCACAGAATAACTACGCTACTCCTAAATAGAGTGTCACCTCACGGACTTAGACTGTTACAAATGGAATTAAGCAGAGTTAAATGACTACAGCGTGGAAAAACAGGGAGGGAACAGACCAAGCTGATATGGATTTAACAATATTTTTTAAAAAATTTGCCATAGCAAAGAAAGCAATGCTCAGCTCACCTTAAATTACTACAAATAATCTCATATATTGTTTTAAAGTTTCAAGGGCAGTGGTGAAAAGAGACAAACTTACGACAAATGCCCTACTAGAAAACTTGTGAGCAGAATCATGTCCTATTGAGCCCAAGAAATGGGCAATTCCTCTTTCGGGCTGAGGCCACTTCCTTCTGGCAGAATGGCAATTTTTAAGTAACTGAGGAACTTGCTGACGCCAATGGCTCAGCACACAGATACAGCTGAGTCCACAGAGCCATTTTAGAATTCAGCAACTTGGACAGAATAACTGGGATAGGAAATGTAAGAAGTCAAAAGGAGCTTAGAAACAATTTCATGAAAAACAGCAAGTATAGTAAGAATGAACCCAATACAATCTGTGAACACATTTTTTTTTCTTATATCTCTACAGATAACAAAAGAATATGACAAGTTAGATAAGGAGAATTTACATGGTAAATGAACAGAATGAAACAGACCCACTCACATTCAGCTTTCAACAACTTTCTACTCTCCTATTTTTTCCTATTTTTCTCATAATTCTAAACAGATTATTGGAACTATTTTTGTAACGTAGTGACTCTAGCATTTGTTCTTGTGAGTGCTGTATTTCAATGTCCACAATACACAGGATTTGCTTTAATTTGTGAATGACATAAGGTAATTAACTTGGAAAAGATATAAGTATCTCAAAGGGAAAACACAATAAAGTGTTTCACTTTAGGTAACAGAGCTAGAAATTAACACGGTATCTTGATTCTTAAAGACAATTTACCTCATTGCTAAGTACTGTTTTCATAATGTGTATTAAAAAAAATCACTAAAGAAATCAGTTTATTTCAGCAATATTATGACTGCAAATAATCTTGCTATGTTATATATGACTTTGTTTAAAATACTTTTCTTACTCACAAATGCATTTCTAAGCCTATCTGCAATCTGATAGCATATGTGATACAGTCACATTCTTCCACTTTTTCCTATTTAATACAACTCTGGACAAACATCATGGTTTCCTTTCGGTGCATTTTTAACCTATTACTCATCTTCATTCAGTAACTGTAAGTGCAGAAGTCCAGAGTTGCTGAAAATGATCATTTTCTTTAAAGTTCATTTCTACTCGTATTCATTAGAAGAAAAGCCAGTTAAGTTCTTTCTGTCAAAGGATGTGACAACTCTTCCTGAAGACGGCTTAACCTTTGAAAAATGCAATTATTTTTTGGATCTCAAGTAACTCTCTAAAACTCTGCTGAAAGCAGGATTCCCATGTATGAAAATATTTCAGAGTTCTCAGTCCTCTGACTGCACCCTCTGCATTCAAATGCCTTCCAGACAATGGGAGCTTTCACTTTTCTTGCTGGTTCATAGCCTACCATTTCTCCCAGCTAGAAATTAAAATGCTTTCCAAGGGCTGATAGATCACATGCTTAACAGCTCTTTTAAATGTAAGCCCATGTACCTGAACATAAAGGCAAAATGGCCTTGATTTTAAAAACGGAATGGAATGTGAGATGGGTTCAAACAGAAGGTTCTATCCTTGCCAGGTTGCCTTTTAGCTCTTGGCATAACTTGACATATTTCTGAAGACAAGGACTGTTTTTAGTAAGAATTCTCTTTATGCACTTCAGGATACTTCTTATATAAATATGTAGCACCAAAAGAAAATCTAATCAGAGGGTCTCTGAAACTGAGAAGTAGACAACTACATCAGAGCCAAAACCACAACTATTTTGGCTCTGAAAATACAGCTATGACAGAACACACTAAAAGTGCAATTTATTGCAATTATGTGTCTGGTTATCATTCCCTCTCCTGTTGATGATTGTTTTTAACATTTTTCTTCCTAATTTGCCAACATACAATTTTACTGCTGCTTCTCATTTAACATTACATATGTGCAATTGTAGATAAGGCCCTAAAGCATTGTGGTTTTCCATATCTGTTAAATACACTGCAGAAATAAGTGTTAGTCCTTTAACATAATAAAGATAAAAGTAGTTGATCAATCATATTGAGTGTAATTCTATTTTTCTTATGCACAGTCATACCTCACAATGCACAAAAAAGGGCAGCACTTCCTGCTACAGGAAGGAGGAAAATTGGTTAATAAGACTATAATGTATTTTTCTCATAAGGTATGTAAATTAAAGAGTGCTTACTCAAGAACATAAGTAATTTCATTTTCCAGGAGCACATTTAACAGAGCCTTACCGTTGTATCCTGGGACTGGCTTTCCTGCCTGCCCGGGGGGAGGCGATGTAGAATTCCCCAAGCCAATGCAGGAAGCAGTAATTGCAGAGCCAGTCTCTGGTTATAGAGAGAACACAAACATGCCTGTTAAGACTGTTCTTAGTGTCATTCAGTAGTTATTGGTTCTAAGTTTTGCATCAAAAGAAAATCCCCAGACAAGCAACAAGAGTCAGAATTTAGGAGCTTCGCAAGTATTACCTGAAGAATATAAGTTCATCACAGAAACCTGGGCTCTGCACAGAGCTGCTTTTGACAGTCCATTTGACAGTAAACAGACAAAAATAAAAACATTCTCCATTACAGTTGGTGCCTTACTCTGCTACAGGCGAGATGTTATCACAGGCCAGTAAGATTCCTGCCTGCATCAAACCCATGACACAAATACTGTGTGCAACAGATGTCTTTAAAGGGTATTTCATGAGGCAATATCCTTGGGACAAACAAATTTTAGAAAAAAAATCCATTATTGACTGACTACATTATAATGTAAGGTGCTGTCAAAATATTAGGTGTTCTGTTTTGCAGTTGAAAAGTTTTACCCATTCACAGTTTTGAACGATAGATACTGGCCATATCTCTACTGTAACGCTGGTCAGGAAGGACATGGCTCAAAGTCGGCTTTAAATAATACATACAAGTCAGAAATAACTTCCTTATAATTCTGGAGGCCTCAGTGAGCATAGACAGGTCAGACCTAAATTTTCAATGCTGACCAAATAAATTTAAAAGCACTACTGTAAGGAATAGGAAGCAAACTATCACAAGCATGAAACAGCTGTTTTTATCTCCCTCGCCAACCAGAAATTAATGAATAGTACTAAGCTTTATTATCCACTACAGTTTAGAGGTACTTTTTTTTTTTTCTTTTTTGGTCAAAAGACAAATGTGTCCCAACTTCTGCACCTTTGAACCTTGTGAACCTCTCTCTGGATGGGTGGAAGACATCCACTCGTCTAACAGCAGACAGCTAAAGTGGAGAGTTGCTGTAAGGAACTCGGGCTCCCTCCATGGAGCCCACGGGAAGCAAGCAGGGCTGGGAGTCCCACTGATGTCAAAGACCCACTTCGGACCTGCTGGATGACACACAGCATCACGGAACCACAGAATGGCTGAGGTTGGAAGGGACATCTAGAGATCACCTAGTCCAACCCCCTGCTAAAGCAGAGACATCCAGAGCACGTGGCAGAGGGTCCCATCGAGGCAGTTTTGGAAGGGGCTTCCTTTAACGCCTGCGCATCCAAGTCAGTGCCGAGACCCTGCCCTGCCGAGCCCGCAGGGACCCGCCTGGGCCCTCCAAGTCATTTTCAGCAGCAACAGGAACAGGCACTGCCTTTGCCAATGAAGATTTCTGCAAAACGACAATTCCGTCAGAAAAATGAGTAGGAAACAGAGCATCACGGTAACCTGGTCTACTACTAAGATTACGTATGATTTGGAGTTTAATGAAAATTCCTTATTGCAGAGGTCTCAAAATAAAAAAGCAAAATAAAGGACAACAGCAGCTGGAGGGGCGGTTTCAGGATTTGTGTCATCTCTGAAAATTATTTTGGACTCACTGGCTATTCGATACACTGCAAAAAACATTATAAATAACAGAAAAGGAAACACCTCCATACTGATTTATCTGTGCTTGTTCCTCCTTTTTTGCTAAGAGCAAATAAGACCAGACAAAAGGCCATTTACTCTAAACCACAACCACAAATCCTAAAACTTGCAATAGGGTCTTTGTAATTGCAGCTACTTATTCTGCTGTCTTATCAATGACCAGTGGATTTCTGTTATTTTTGCAATCACCCATCACTCTAATTGCTAGGTTGTAGGTACAACTCCTGAAAGTTAGTCAGACTTCTCATACATGTGAAAAAAATCTGCTTGGCAGTTCTTGGACCAGTTATTAATTAAGAGAGAGAAGCTTAATCCCAGGTATATTTTAGGTTAACAGTTCCCGAATGCTAAAGATTCCCTTGCATGGAAAGGGAAGCAAGGAGCACTGTCAAAGGGTAGCACATATCTCTGCTGTACAGTTCTTCGGCATTCACTCTCCAAACAAGATGCTGGACTGCAATATTAATTACCTGAATGTATCAGAAAAAAAGCAACCCTTTTCCATGATAACACTTTTTAATCAAGGAAGAGAAAAGCCTGACTTGGAAGTAAAACTCATTTCAAAATCTTGCTTGAAAAGAAATCATTGCTGTTCAGGAGATGACAGAAAAAATAATAGTGATGAGACTGTCCAAGTACTACACGGCCCTTTTTATCTGTCCAAGAGGCAGAGCAGATTAGGATGAGAGCATCTGGTTTCAGTCAGGAGCGGTGACTTAACAATTCAAGTCAGGATCTATGTGCTGGTTACGAGACTCCAATTTGAAAGCAAAAGCAACAAGAGCTTGGAAAAGAGTATCACTTGTCAAACGGTCGCTGCAACCCACCTACTCCCTTCATCAGGTTTCAGCAGGAACAAACAGATACCCCTTTCACTTGCATGATGGGGTCTGGACGGGTTCCCAGCACTGAAGGCTTTAAGAACTTGCATATTTTTACCATAATGTATAGAACAGTAGATTTGTTTTCTACTCAGTCCCTTCTACAGATCTTTAAGGAGCTAACCTTGCCCACACTATGCAGGGGATTGGCTCACCTTCCGGCTTTGGAAAGCTTTCTGGGACAACTGGATGAGAAAATTGCTTCTCATTAACAACTTATAATGTGACAATGAAATGGCTATTTAGAAAAGCAATGTTTCTCACTGGCAGAGCAGTGTTTCACAATTAGTCAATAATTACATTCAACATCCACTTGGATTTATAATGGAATAATATCTCTGATAAATACCTCTGAGGAAAAAAGGAGAGCACTTGTACTGAGACTAAAAACTTATGAGACTGATCTTATGAGAGACCATCTTAGGTTATGTTTTCTGCATTCTGAACAGGGGCTGATTTAAAAAAAAAAACACCCTCATATTTCAAAGGTATGATTTTTTTTGTTGGTTTATACCACTCTGCATGCAAATGAAATAAGATTTTAAGGAGATTCAGTATTATTGAGCTATACTGCACAGTTAACAAATAGTTTGAGACAGGCACCTTAATGCATTCGTACTTCTGAAAGTAATTACTGTGTTAGAGAAAGTACTGCTGATTCAGAAGCAAAGACAACACTTGCTCAGCAGTATACAAGTCTATAAAAGTTTATCTCGAATTTTATTTATCAGAATGGCTCTATCCACCAATCTGCCTGACTTTTGAAAGTGTGCTCTGCCATGTAAAGCAGAGTGATAGCACAGTAGGTTCTGTGACCGTAATCCTCAAGTTTAACCCCTTCAATATTCAAATTTAATTCTGAAATAAATAGTTCTGAAAAAAAAATCAGAACTTGATAGATGAACAATGTCCTGTACCACTTACATTCCTGGGGCATTACAACTTGATGCTCTGCCTAATGTCCCTCAACATGAGCTGTGCACTGGCATACTGCTAAAACGTCATACGTTTTCCAACAGGTGTCTGGGGGGAAAAAATCTGTATTCTTGTGATAATATTACATTTAGCTTGGGTTATTTCAAATTTATTAGGATGCAAAGGGGATAGATGACTTGTCTCCACTTGAAATACATAAAAGAGGTTGGGAGTTGCTCTGCAGCAGAAGAGGAGGAGAAGGAACAATTGTCATAAATTAACACATTATCGTATGCAGAAAAATACAAACCATGAATTCTCACTGTGGCAGTGCCATTTTGAACCATTCTCCTATCAGAGCTGCCAGTTTTGGTCAAGGGAAATGAAAGGAATTGCAGGAGAGAGCACAGAGAGAATGAGAAGGAGAGTCTCTAGGGAGGGAGGAGGCTTAGTGCCCGATAACACATCCGTCTGCGCAACAGGAATGATGCCCTGTGCAGACTCCTTGCACATGCACTGCCACACAGGGCTCATTTCAATTCTGGAGGACAGGGTGAAGTAAAGAATGCAATAAGGAAAAGGGCACACATCTTCCCAGCAAGGCAACAACTACTTGTGCACCCAGGAACAGAAAAACACAATACTAGATGAATTCTGAAATGCAAAAACTCCATCAGAGCAAGGCATGCTGCTTCCTTATAATGAAACCGAATCTATGAATCACAGAAACAGACATCACAGAAAAAAAAACATGTACTGAGGAGGTTGGGTCTGAATAATCAAGGTAAAGGAATGTGTTTGTACCTCAATTCCTTCATCCTCCCACTTACAGCTTTGCAGAGCAAAGAAGTCAGGTTGCCAAGCAGTTCTTTATCATCAGAAACTGAGCAAGTCTGCCTAGCTGTTGCAGGCTGCACACCTATCACCTCTGTCACTTTGTGCTCATCTGTCTTGGAAAAACTCCAGTGCAGCAAGGCCTCAAAAATATCCGCTGTGCAATTTTGTCACGATGTTTTCTTTACTTCTCCCCTCGAGGAGATCAACACTCTCTGCGCAGCTCCAGGCTGACGCACGAGACATGATGAAGTGCTCATATCAACATATCGACTGGAAATATCAACTACACCTGGCTTGTGCAGAGTAATTAACCACAAATAGCCTGATCCTTACTATTCATCAACATTACAACAAGGAAGTGACATCTGCAGATGATTATCTCTGAGCATTAAAGGAAACAGAAGGGAAGAGGTTGGATGATCCCAACAGAATATGATGTGTGATGCTGGGCTGACAATTGAAAGTTTGCCAAAAAAAACACTGCAGTGTTAGTGCATGTTGATATGTAGAGATTTTTGCCTTTGCAGGGCAAAGGCTAGTGAAAATTACTTTTCAAATATATAATTGCATCATGAAATTCCCATCCATTTTACTCACTACCTCTTCATTTTGCTTCGGCCTGTCATCAAATGAAATAGAATTTACTGGAAGAGCTCCCATTTACTGAAATTCCCATCTTCTTTCTACATATTTAGCACATATGTGCATTAGCACTGCAGCACAGAATAATAGAGAAATGAGAGAAACCATGAGAAGACAACAGTGACTGAAGAACCTGCAGTACTTCGACTCCTAACTTCTGATTCAGTTTTATCAACT